CCTGCTTCTACACCTGCAGCAACACCTGGCGAGCCAGAATATGGCCACCTTTATCGGTATGGAGATGACAATCGCGTGATTCCTCCATCGACGGCACCTGCCCCTGAAGAAGAAGACGACGATGAGCTTCAACGCCTCAATTCCTACGTTAAGACTGGCCAGTACGTTAGTATTGGCAAGCTTCCTGACCGCGTGGAAAATTCTCGGGCTGGCCTCTTTGTTCTGTGGCGTTACATCATCTATGGAAAGACTGAAGGTGACTTCAACAAGGCTTACGCCATGATGAAGAGGGACTTCAAGGATCAGACGGCAATCTTGAAGTATATCGAAGAGACAGTGATGCCAAAGAAGGAGGAATGGGCGCAGGCATATATCTCCCGGTATACCAACTTTGGCCAGCGCACCACATCGCCTACTGAAGGCGCCCACCGCAGTCTAAAGAGCTACGGGGTTACCAGCAAGTCTACCCTTGAGCAGGTTGTTCAGTCAGCTAGGAAGATGGTTGAGGACCAGAAGCGCAGCTTTGAGCGTGAAGAAAAAGATCAACAAACCCGGGTCCGCTTCGAATTCAGTGGTCAGGTCTACCTTGGCGATCTTCCTCGACGGGTCTCTCTCAAAGCGCTTGTCCTGATGAAGCACCAGCATCAAATTGCCCTTGGAGCAATCCCCAGACCGATGAGGCCATACAGACCGCTTGGCCCTTGTTCAAATCATCACCGGGCTCAGTATGGCTTGCCTTGCCCTCACGAGCTACTGCAATTGGAAGAAGATAGCGAGAGTGTGAAGATTGAAGATATCCATCCATATTGGCACCTTCAGCGCAACTTGGTATGTGGGAATACCTTCATTTAGACTTACAAGCTAACAGGGTTACTCTCATAGGACGATATTGACCGCTACCTTCGAATCCACGAGCCCCTCAAAGTCGAAGTCCTCAAAGGTCGCCCGCGAGGCACCGGTCCCTTCGCCTTTACTGAGCCACGCAGTCTACCAAGTGCCCAGGGCAACCAGCGTATCCCTGCAAGTGGCCGCCGTCAGCCATCTCAGTGGGAGGGTATCGACTTGACCGCAGAGGATATTGGTGATCAGGGGCCGCCACCAAGTACGGCGCCAGCAGCTCTTCAGACGACGACGACGGCAAGGAAGCGAGGCCGGCC